ACAAACAGATCGTAACTTCACTACACCTCAATATTGTAAACTTTTCCAAAAACATGCAAGCATGTGTAACTACTCTGAATAAAAAGCTATTTCTGGCAGAACGATTATATTGTCCTCGTTCAATTTGTCCCTCAACTAGAATAGCTATGCTTCCAATTAGATCCATCTGGCCAGATCACCAAAGAGTACCAACTATTTATAGTTGAAGAAACAAACATAATGAAATAATGGATTCCAGTTGCCCATGCCGGAAGTGTAGACTTAAAAAATGGTCACACACGGCAAATCTTGCGACCGAAAGTGGCATCCAAATGTGTTAGAAGAGGTGCACAGGCTTATAATAAACCGAAGCAAAAAATAACGCCAGATCGTTATTTTTCCGAAGTACAGGCACAAAACCAATCGTGTTGTACATAATAAGCAACAATTCATAAAAATATTTTGATTACATAAACGGTGTATTTTACCTTAATTATAAAGCCTGCAGACAGCGAGCAAAAACGATTACTTTTTCTGTTAGACAAAGCAAATGCACTCTGACTTAGCAGTGTTGGTAAACGTATGAAATATCACATTTATTTTAACCAAGGGTTTATACCAATATAAAGACATTAGGAAACCCTTGATTGATTGAACCGAACAGAACCGTATGAGGTTGAAAATAGAGTGAACAACCCTTGATTGATTGAACCGAACAGAACCATATGAGGTTGAAAATAGAGTGAATACCTAATCCAATATCCCCAGTTTCAGGTAATAAAGGAGTATTCGGCTAATTCAAAGTCTACACAAAAAACACAGACATCAAAATGCAATGCGGACATTTCGAAATCTGACTGCAATTAGAATATCTGAAATAGCAACAAAATGTAGCGCAATATATCTGCTACTTGCACTCATCAAGAATGCTCCGGATTCAAAGTAACACGTGAATCGAATTCACTCTTTTTTCACAGGTTTCTGTCCTATGTTGATGAAAGCTCTAAAACACTTTTTTGTCGTTTGTCCAGAGGTCGCTAACACATAATATTAGTGCTCAACGCTCATCTTCATTTTATTCCTTACTTACAAAGTAACTCGTTAGATTATGTAAACAACCGCATCTGACTTTGCATATCGTATATAAAACTTGTATCTGTAAGTGCGCAGTCGCACAAGGTGTTTTTTTTTACACAGATTTTTAGAAATTTACACGTCAGCGTAACCTTTTCCTGTTTATTACTCCCAGAAAGTAAGCGAAATACCATTTCACAGCAATTTTTACAGTAGTATCTTTGAACAGGTCCATTAATGGACTTGTGGTCACTACAGATACAAAGATTAACGAGAATTTGAGGAGAAAGGATATCTATTTGGTGTAGTTATTGTCTCGCAAGGGTTTAAACAGATGAGCTAGTAAGATGAATATACTCTCAGCTGGGTTAAAAAGGAGTGTACCCTGAATACGAAAGTAAATTGTTTAGCAGAACTAAATATGTCATAATCAGTGAATTCAGCCTAGGTCAGTCATCTGAAACGTACCTTATGTACCTTCAAAAACTAGGATATTAAAAGTTCCGTGAGAAGACCGTCGCCCACAGTATCTGAGTTTATTGGCCTTATATTTTCAGGTTTAGAAACGGTTGGCTCCGCCAGCTGCCATCAAAAGGCAATTATATTTTTGCTCTTCATAGCGAGACGAAACTTCATGTACTGATGTTTTTACAAATGCAGTCTGTAAAGAAATATCTTGAGGTGTACTTGGCCATCGTGCACCTATATAACTTTGGATGTATGTACATTTTGCGGTTGAGTTCATACGTGAAACGGAGAAGCTGTCAAATTAAACGGGCCTATGTCGAAAGTTTGGTGATAAGTAAGCACTAAACGACACACCCCTCTACCGTTCTCACGACGCAGGAATATTTAATAAAAAAAAGTTCAGTGACGTTAACAGTGGCAGTCTTTGAGTTTCAGAGAATGAGAAATAACAAAGACTGCACCCTTACCTTAATTGTTTACTAAATTAACGCCAAAATTCGGACTAACTTTTTGTGGCAATACTAAAAAGCCATAAACTTTACCCGTTTGCATTTAATAAAAAAAAGTTCAGTGACGTTAACAGTGGCAGTCTTTGAGTTTCAGAGAATGAGAAATAACAAAGACTGCACCCTTACCTTAATTGTTTACTAAATTAACGCCAAAATTCGGACTAACTTTTTGTGGCAATACTAAAAAGCCCTAAACTTTAACCCGTTTGCCCCACAAGTACGAAAAGTCGCACACCCAACCATATCACTAAACAAACAAGTGTGCCTATAATTGCATGTGCTTTATTATCCTCCTCCCAGTTCACCAAAAAATGAACAAAAATTAATTCGCATACACATGCGTCATCTAATCTAAAACCGCATGGCTTTTCTTCTCTCCCGAAGTTGTGGAAGTTTTCATAGATAACAGCTATGATTTGTCCAATAACGTTCATCTTAGTACTGCGTCTTGGTAGTTCTAACCTTTTCAAACCTTCCATGGTCTTGTGCTCATGTTTTTTTAAGTAACACACTGTCGCCTCCCCTCAAAATATTCCTTTTTCCATCGCAAGCCTACCTAGGCATCAACAATTTAATGGCCGCTCTAGTAAAGTGTTGCTTTTTTAATGAAGACCTTCATCCCTTTGCACAGATTCTTGGCTTCAGTGGCGGATTCTGGAGCTTCACTATACGAAACTAATAAATATATTGAAAACAACATGGTGATGCTCCTCAAAGATGGCTGTGCTGCAAACAGCAGCTTTTGTTCTTAGATTATGGTTACATGTCTTTTCTGCACCCACATAATTTTCAGCATAAGTATACAACTTGAAAATATTGTTTCCCCTAAGTTCGCCTCATGATACCTGAGCCTAAAATTCCCAATTTTGAACATACGTTTTAGTCGTTGCTCAACCATTAGCTGCTTATTTGTCATCTCAGCAGTTTCTGTCATGGGTTTGAATGTTTTTGTTGTTTTGATTTGTTTTAAAAACCGTTAAAGGTGTACCTGTTTTATCCAGTTGTAGTTTAATAGAAGTGATAATGCACTGCGCATTTGTTGCTCTGCCAAAAAATCTGCAGAATCTTGCAAGGTAATCGAAGGGGTACGTTGAATTGTTTCTGTGTATTATTAACGTAATTTCAAAATCTTGTTTTACACTTTTCCTACATGTTTTTACCTTCTACGCCAGGGACTATAGTGTAGATAAAATTAGATCAGAATGAAATTGCGCCTTGACTTATATTCCCAGTTTGCTTGTTCATATTTGACAGCCGATGCCTTCTTAGCACAAAAGGACTGTGAAGTATTCTCCCTGAGATGTTGCGCTTTCCTTCGAAAGGGTATATCAAGTTACTTTGTTTGAAACTTGGAACGGCTGTTCCTTTCGAATTCATGTTGAAGAAGGTTTTTGTTACGTAAATGCTGTAACAGGACAGTGAAAATTAAAATAAGTCACCGCTAACCAGAGTGAGGTGACAACTTGGTACTTCACTGATTAAGTCCCGTTAGGTTATGTTAGGATATCTTTGAAACCCATCCAGAACATGATGAACAGTCAAGTGCAGTTACCAGTAAACGACTGTACTCTGCACAAAACCTTCGGATGACGGTGACTCATTCACGTCACAGACCTGCCCTGAGTGAGGCCCTCAAAGAATGCTGACGTCGAAAATCTCAAGCTTCATTACTTTTTTTAAACTGTGCGCTCTTTTCACAATTTTATTTAAGGAAAATTCTCACTTTGGTATCTAGCATCCAGTCCAACACTGCCTAAGTTCATTTACTTCAATGTTACCTCCAATTTTTTTGGCCACCCCAGGGATGTTTAAGTTTAAATAATATTTCCCGTCAGAAAAATAACGTGGTCATTGTATTCATGGCGCTGACCTATCTAAAGTCGCAATACTCCATGTATATCTGGAAAAAATGTTGTCCTGTGGCGTGATTTTACTGGTTAGGATTCCATTTCAATCCTCGAAAACAAATCAGTGAAGAATATCTGCGGTGAACACACGGCCACCGGTTGCCACTGATAGTTACACTTCACCAGCCGAAAAATGCAGAGAAGTTCTTTATTTTATGTGCATCCACGCGACAAGTAAAGAAGTGCAACTTGGAAGAGGTCAACAGAATGACCAAAATGAAATATATGGATGCCACTTTGATTATCTGTTGAACGCGTAATTTAGTGAAAAGCGAGTACCTTCATCCGGACCAACACTCCTTCTCTTTTGAGACTGAGCTCCTTTTACCCTTGTGTTCGCAGACCAATACTCTTGGTCAAAAGTCGAAGACCTAATAAGTGGTACGATAACCGTCTTCTTCAGACACTTGTCGCTTTGTACTACTGCTTTGTACGGTGTGGCCATACACACGACTGTCACAGCTGATTTCACAGAGAAAATAATTCAGACTTCTACCAAGAAAGCGTTTGGTCGAACCCATGGAAACCGAAAAATTCTACGTGAGGTGAGTGTCTTGAGGCGAATTGACAGAAGCCATTGCTGTTAGTATATTATTATTACGCCTAATTTTTGCACGTATACCGTTATCCGTTGACTATGCAGCATGTTGTCTTAAGCACGATGAGGTCGGTAATTAGGCATGGTGTTCGATTGTAGTTCAGATGCCGTAAGTTTAGTCGGTGAGACCGATTACTATGGAACGCCCTTAGTTAGCCGGTACATGTGCCCCAGCTAATTTATGGCCGCAACCATCAGCGTCGTCTGACTACGATGGATTTTGAAAAAATTTTGAAAAAAGTGTCAACAAAGTTGAACTAAATTTTTACGTCACCATATTTGGTCAGCCGTAACCACCAGTGGCACTACCGGTGGCATCCGTAACGTGCCACTGATGCCCACCAGTGGCGTGTTTACTGGATGCTTCGGAGTACATCCTGAGCTCATGGAGCAGAAGGGGGCATTTTGTAGCTTAGATGATTAGCTAGACAAATGTAAAGACTGCGCGATAAAAGTGCGACTCACCACTTTCTATCACCCGAGAATCTTTGGCTCCATAATTGAGGTGTTTTAAGGGTTCAAATCCTGTGCACACGTATGAAAGGCCATCTTTCAAATCAGATAGTGAGCGCACTCGGTGACGGCCCGTAGGAGTGAAGATGCGCTGAACTCCACATGGCAAATAAACATGTTTTGGTAGGGTGTACGTCAAGTCCCTCAAGAAATCGTCTAACTCGTGATACCTTGAACAGTCAAGAAGTAAATAAGTTCCAACACTTGAGCGATCTCCATTCACGTAAACAACAATATGCTTGTGCAAAGACTCTTTTTTTCCTCCCGTTTCTTCTGCACGCGTTACGGTTTCGCGATCGATGGGCTGTGAAGGGATCGGAGAACCCAGAACCATTCCTACGAGATCACTTCTAAATTCCGGATTAAAAACCTCCATTTATGAAGACACTTTGTCTGGTGTTTAGTTCCAAGTTTTGCATGCGCCCGAATATCATATCCTTAAGACAACCAAACGACATCTGAGGGCACATTTGACCGATGCGCGTGAATTACAACCTTGAAAGTAAATAATAAGTGATGCAGTGCAAAGCCCTCAAGATGTCCATTTGGCCCGTAAGCAAGTAGCAGCAGAAATCTCGTAAAGTAGTACCGGTTTTATCCGGAGAAAAAGATCACACACCACAGCCTTTAGTGAGAAACTTGGCAAAGCCAAAAGCAATACAGTGTGACCGTCTCCAGGGGCTCGTCGGTCAATTGCTCCTCAGAATCGCTTGCTTGGTCTCTAAAGTAACTCTGAGGGCGCAACAAAGTGGAAATAAGTAAACGATGTCAAACTATTTGTATGTACCTCTTTTTATTCGAGCGCCGGGTCATTTCAACTTTTGAGAACTTTGATGGATTTTCCGGGATATCCCGCGTGAGCTCCATTGTGATGATATGGTATGCAGCAAAGAAACTTGTTTATAACTTGGATTACACTTATCATTTGCAACATGCCGTTTCTGTCTAGGCGCTGTGCAATGTCTTCCACAACAACTGGGCCCCGTTTTCCCTGCGGTTGCACCGTTGATAGATTAGCAATCAGTCGTCCGGAAACAACCAGGTTACACCTCTACTGGTCAGTCATGTTTCAAGTATTTGTTACGCCATCCATGCGTTGTTAACGGGCTGATCGAAACTTCGCCGGATCGCTCAGCAATGACGGTTTCTTCCTTCAGGTTTGGGCAGGACTTACTGTTGACCACCTCTGTGAGCTCGTCAAAACGACCTGTTTTTAATGTGCGCAACAGAGTCCCGGTCATCTGAATGAAAATTTCGTGAAACCAAGATGCATGGGTATCCAGACGAATCGGTCTGTTGTAGGTTTTTGTGAATACAAGGATGAGGATAAGAGGAAGGAATTATTCTTTGTTGCATTGTTTAGGCTTGGACAGTTCAGTCACACAACCCTTTCGATCTTTCTTGTTCTATGTATTAGGCAGCGACCACTGCTGTTTGTAGGGTTGAGATGCATTGTCCTAACATTTCCAATAACTAGCCTCCTTGATCGTTGCCAAATCGACTAACTCCCTGCCTTGCCAAAGTTGCCCAACCCCGCTCTCTCCAGGGCTTCACGCCTACTGAGCGACTGACATTCGCTGCAAAGCGCCGCTTGGCCACCAATGATAGCCTCTTGTGTCGCCAGTTGAATAAAATCTAAACCGTCAGGCAACTACACGCTTATAGTAATTTGCTTTAGGATTCTTATACCATATCGGTCGGTTCACTCGGTCAGCGATTCCTGAGTCATTCAACATAAATCAGCTTTCATCCCGGCTTATTTGAAAACTTACCAACCTCCCCGTAACTGTAACAAACTTTAGGTTACTTGCTATTACTGAAATTCATGTTAACGAGCTCTACTCAACTCAGCCCGAATCCTTTCCTTCTCGAGCCTCAATCCTCGGCAATATTTGCTCCAAACGCCCGGTATGGTCGTCATTCATTCCAGGTGATTTTCACTTCACATCCTCATCGCATTACACTGAACAAAATTCATGTGATTTTACAACGACAGGACTTTTAGTTTGGCGGTCCTCATGGCTAACTTGGATCTCGTTGAGCATACATATAATAAAGAAACTTTAGTCTCAACCGGTGGTTGGCATACCAGGCGTGATCAATACGTCACAGTCAGAACAAGAGCATGAATAGCGGAGCTTGTGGGTAAAGGGGATTGCGCGGAAATAGGACAGTGTCATTGACAGTGGGTATCATCCGATCCAGACGTTAGAATTTGAAGGTGACGGTTCAAAACTAAGGCCAGTATAGATAAAAAAGCGTGCAAAATGAGAGGAGAGGCGAAACATGGAAGCACTATGAGGAGCAGTTAGTCCATAACTGACTGCGTTACAAGAGACGACACAGCGGTCACTTCGTGGGAAACGTAAACCAAATGTGTCTGTCGCCTAATTTCCATCACTTGAGAATATTAGATCCAATATATGTAAGCCACGAGTGGGGTTACGTACAAACTGAGATCAACCCTCTGCACTAAGTTCAACAAGCAGCGAGGCATAACGAGTAGGACCTATTGTGAGAGACCAGGAAATATCCAATCAGTTGAAGTAACTCGGCACAAATTTAGACTACTATGGAGGGGCATGGGCATGGAGATAACACAGGGCAAGTCAGCAATACAAGTGGGGTAATGGGCTGATGGTAGCTAAATAAATCCTACTAGTACGTGGGCTGTCGAAGAGTTTTTTGCAACCTTGTGAGTAGTTTCCTCCATGAAAGTATTCTGCGATATTATCAGTATTGTGCCAGCTGAGTCATGAGGTGGCCTGTGTGCAGCACCTTCACTTGGAGGACAGCATAAGCGAGAAATTCAACTGAAGCTCCGGTGAAAACCAAATTGATTTACAAGTGAGTGTATTTCTCGATAACAGTCCAATTTGGGTTCAAGTAGAACATAAGGTTTACGGAATCTCGGGGACTGCGCCTACCTGATGAGTCCCAAGAAGGGCGAACCGGTCGTGGGCTGTCGAAGAGTTTTCAGCATCCTTGTGAATATTTTCCTCTACGAAAACCTACTAGTACAAGTTTTTTGGTCTGTTTCGTAGAGATCTAGATGACCCATGGAATCATCTCAAGGGTAGGATCATCAAAAGGAATGCACGGAGTTCTGATCTGCAGTTGACAGCGCAGCCATCGCCCCCTGAGTCATTCCTGTCAAAGCGGTGAATACTGTAGCCAGTCACTGAATTAGCCCCGTTTTGGGCCTCAACAACTCGCCCTGTTTCAGTTACACAACCCACACTTGGTCAGGCAATAGCGCTAATGGCTCGGGGATTATGGACTTCTGGCAACAGCGAGTAGGCAATAAACAGCACTATCGCCAAGTTCATTGACGAGCAAACAGTACGCAGTAGGAAGTTACCAACATTTGTTAAGGTGGAGTCTAGTATTAGGCCTTTGTGATTTTAATGTGAAACAACATTAAGCAGGGTTCACTAGGCGTGTGATCGAAGTCCGAAGAGGAGTATTCAGTACCGAAGGCAGGTGGGTAAATAGTCGGCGAAGTAGGCCGGCATCCAAGGCAGGACGTCCAGTATCAGGTCCAGCATAGTGGATGGAAAGTCTTCGGGAAGATGGGATGAGGTTGATTAAAGAGTTGTTGGCTGCTGCATCCTCTGAATTGTCGGGAGATGTGGGAAGTATGTGGTGCAGAAAAAGGTGCTGGCTGTGGGGGGTTGTACGACAGCCGAAAATTGTGTTTAGGTGGAACAAAAGTGGGTGGGCAGGGTTGTGGAAGCGAATATGGTCAGGGCTGACCAACGTTTGTTGTCCCCGCATGCTCAGAATAGAGCAGCCATTTGCAAACTACGTGAGGAGAGGCTTCTCATCGTTCCAGCAAGCATTCCGCCAAACACCCTGGGAATTTGCCGCAACCTTTAGTTTTTGTGGATCTTTCTATGACAGTCGGCACAAGCCGTACTAGGTAAACAGCAACGCGTTACCGTCACCAGTATACCGACACTTTCATCATGCCGCGGAAAAAGATAGTCAGTTTGTTGGTAATGCAAACAGGCAGTAGAATATGCTGGCCAGTACTTCGGAGATTAGGCACGAATTCAAACTAGTCCGGCATCTTTCCTGGTGCTTTTAGCTCATTCGGCAGGGAAATAATAGAGAAATTTGAACTACTTGCAAGCCATCATACTGAATCTGACAGTCTCAGTATCATCATCTCAACGTCGTACTTTAATCCGCGAACAGCCCCTTATATGTACATCTCGGGTGAGTCTATTGGAGTTCACATGATAGTTGAGATTGGTCAAGGACTCGCGGTTGATTGAGACAAACATGGAGCAAGGGTATTCTTAGGACCATTGACGACAGTGGGTAGTTCTTCGTTGCCATTAGACTTTAGCCTGAAATAACAACCAGCAAAGAGCGGCCACAGTTACAACTACCGTGGTGAATCGAAACTGCCTGATTTCAAAAAAGATGACTGAAGACAGTAGGGAATGGCGATATGCGGCCGATACTAACCGGCTTGGCTATGTGCAAATTGATAACGGTCAAACCAGCCAAAGTTTGCGCCCATAAGTGCATGGCTGACCATTAAGTCATCTCTGGAGGTAAGCAGAAATAGCAGACCTGTGAATAGACGTTTTCCGAATTTGCGATTGAAGCGTACGTGCCCTCCTAGCTACCTCATGTCCATGGGCATATAGCTTGCAGGCTTCTTGGGAAGTAGAAACATTATGCCAACCTTTCCTGAATGTTAGGTTAGCCCAGATTTGACAGTTAAAGGCATGCAAGGCCAACGATTAGGGAATAGGTGAGTGGCACGGATGTGTTGAACGTTTGGATTATAGGGTGACCTAAGCTACAAGAGCGGCTACGAGCCGGGAAAAGGGGATGAGGGTTTTCGAAACGAATTTCTACCGACGCGTCACGTCTCGTGCATTTTGTGAGTTTCTGCCAACTCAGTCAATCAATGATCAATACAAAGACGGGGGTGGGATCATTTTGACGATGCACGATACTTGAATCTCGGTTGAGGGACATTTGTTCCTGAGCCAACGAGTCCTTAGTTGGATCGTCAACGACATCATCAGAGATAGCAACGTTAAGAGTGGTTTCATTGTTTGCCTATGTATTTGGATAGTTTGGACGCGGGCGTATAAACGGTGACTAATGGCGATACGTTGGCATGAACGATAGGTTTGAGGATGCCAAAATGCTTAAGGCAGACATGAAAAACAGCCCGAAATAGCGAGTCGCTTTTAGTGTGCTTGATGTGTGTGAGTCTTGATCAAATGCTGGAAATTAAACGTTGTTTTATAAACCCAAGCACCGTAGCTGACAATCCGTGTCCAAGAACGGTCGCCCGAGACGTTGTCAATGCTGCTGCGGTTGAGTGTGTGATGTTTGCAAGTTACGTTGACGATAATAAGGCTGTTGTTTGTATTAGGATACAGGACAGGAATGACGGTAAACGGAAATTGGGTGAGGTAAGGATTCAGAGCTCTA